ACAACCTCATTATTATCATCATCATGGCTCTAAAGCTCTTCGAGAGCTTTGGTATTTCTATTCGTCAATATCAAATGTCTTTCTTTTACATTCCTCATAACATTTAAAATTTACAATTAAAAAAAATAAAGGTCATTCATCGAAGTAAAAAATATCCTATCTCCTAAGTTGTACCAATAAATACACTTTCATAAAATTTTATTGCAATCGGTTTAGAGGTTTTCTAATATTAGCTTGGACAAACATCGTGACACGAGATATAAAGATGGTCAGGATTTTGCGTAATGGACAAAAACTAGACTGACAATAACATATTTTTACCATAAATAAACTATTGCAATATGTCACCCTTTATATTTTTTTAGATAAAAACACTAAAAACTGAATGGAAATCAAGCGAATACAATGGAGAAGGAAAGCCACATCAGGAGAGTATCCATGAGAAACACGGAAAATCTAGAAACTATAGAAAAAGAAGAACTGGAAGAAGCAATATGATAGATAAAGATTGGAAAAGCACCAGGAAGCGATGAAGTAGCACCAGAAATAATGAAATATATAGGAGTAAAAGCAAAAGAAAAATTGTTATACATATATCACTTAATATGGAAGAGAAAAGTAATACACAGAGAATGGACAAATGCAGTAATTATACCTATATACAAGAAAGGAAACACAAGAGACTGTAAGGGCGAGCGCCCACCAAAGTGGCGTGGCAGTGGCAAGTAGCGAGTAGCACGCGTCTAGCATAATGTAACCAATGAAAACGAATGATTCAGTTTACACCAAAATGACAGTAACGTCATTCATTCTAATCATTCGTTAGGATTGGTTACATTATGCTAGACGCGTGCTACTTGCTACTTGCCACTGCCACGCCACTTTGGTGGGCGCTCGCCCTAAGAACTATAGAGGTATATTACTACTATTTGTAGCAGCAAAAGTATACGAAACCATAATAGAAAGGAAAATCAGAAAAGAAATAGAACATAAATTAGAGGACAGATTGACTACGTTTTAATAAACAGAAGATTTCGTAACGCTATCAAAAGAATCGCAGCATATCCAGGTGCTGATATTGCATCCGATCATAATCCGCTAATAGCAGATGTGAGGTTAAAACTAGCAAAAATTAAGAGAACAAATACAAATACCAGCACACCTATAAATACAAGAGAACTGATGAGAGACGAAAATCTGAAGAAGAGTTATGCGAATCAAATTAATGAAAGAATGCGAGTAATAGAACAAAATTATGATATCGAAGAGATGGTCAATGATATTAAAGGAACGATTCTGGCAGTAAACAGAGAAGTTAAAACACAGATCAGAAAGATAAAGCATAACGAATGGATGACGGACGAAATTATGGATCTAATGGAAAAGCGAAGGCAACATAAACAACAACGTAATCAAGACAAATACAAACAGATACACAAAGAAATCCGTCAGAAAATTAAGAAAGCAAAAGAACGTTGGATGGTGGAAAGGTGCAACGAAATAGAACAATTGCAGGAAAAAGGAGATAGTTTTGGACTACATAAGAAGATCAAAGAAATATCGAATATACACAAAAGCCACCACAGAACAAGAATACGCAACGACAGAAACGAATACATAGAGTCAGAAGAAGAGATAGCAATGGCGTGGAAAGAATACGCAGAAAGCCTTTTTAATGACGAAAGACCAACACAACCAACGTGCAAACTTCCTTCCAAAAACTTATCAGGGCCATCAATAATGCGAAGTGAAATAGAATATGCAGTTAGAACCACAAAGATGCATAAAGTAACAGGTCCAGATGAAATTAATATAGAAGCAATAAAACTACTAAACGAGGAGAATATCGAAATCTTGGTAAGGCTGTTCAATAGAATTTATGATACTGGTTACATTCCGCGAGAATGGCTGCAGTCATCCTTTGTGATGATCCCAAAAACAGCTAATGCCACAAAATGCAATGAACACCGCTTAATCAGTTTAATGAGTCACTTGTTGAAACTCTTCCTTAGGATATTACACTCAAGAATGTATAAGATACTAGAAGAACTTAGCGGGTCAACACAATTCGGTTTTAAGGGAGGACTAGGAACAAGAGAGGCAATTTTATGTTTGAACACCTTAATACAAAACTGCTTAGATCAACGAAAAGATGTCTACCTCACCTTCATCGACTACGAGAAGGCATTTGACAATGTTAAACATGATATCATGATGGAACTACTACATAGGGCCAACATTGACCAGAAGGAGATCAGAATTATTCAGAATCTATACTGGAACCAAATGGCAAAGGTGAGGATTGATCAAGGCCAATATACGGATGAATTTGAAATCCGGAAAGGTGTCCGCCAAGGCTGCATACTCTCTCCGATGCTTTTTAATTTATATGTTGAAAATATATTTGCGGAAGCATTAGAAGATACGGAATTAGGCATTAAGGTGAACGGCATACCAATTAGCAACCTACGCTATGCGGACGACACAGTGATTATAACTGATAATTTGGAAGATCAGCAGTTATTACTTGATAGAGTGAATAGCATAGGTAAAAAATATGGCCTCAAAATCAACATTTTGAAAACGAAATATATGGTCATTAGCAGAAACCCTCCAGAAAACCCGATATTATGCATAGGTAACAATCGTATAAATCGCGTGAAAACTTTTAAATACCTTGGCACCACAATCAATGACCAATCGGATCCACAACACGAGATAAAAACCCGAATACAAATGGCAAGACAAGCTTTTGTGAAATTCAGACCGCTCCTATGTAATCAACACCTAAACTTCGAAATACGCTACAGAATGGTCAAGTGCTACATATGGTCCATCTTGCTTTATGGCATGGAAACGTGGACTTTGAAAAAAACATCTATCAACAAACTTGAAGCATTTGAAATGTGGTCATTGAGAAGAATGATGCGCATACCTTGGGTGGATAGAGTTCGAAACGATGACGTCCTTAATAGAGCCAGCGTGGAAAGAGAACTCTTTGAATTAATTAAAAAACGCAAGATTGGTTACCTTGGGCACATATTGAGAGGAGCAAAATATGAAATACCACAGTTAATCCTACAAGGGAAGATCGAAGGTAGGAGAGGAGCCGGCCGCAAACAATTGTCCTGGTTAAGGAATATTAAAGAATGGACAGGAATACACAATACAGGTGAGCTGTGTCACGCCGCCAAGAACAGAATTCTAGTAATGAGATAGTCGCCTACGCACTTTGGTGTATGGCATGTTAAGAAGAAGAGAGGACAGACAGTGGATTCAGGAAAGGACACAACACACAAGACCATATATTCACCATGCAACAAGTAATAGAAAAAGCCTTAAAGAAAAATATCTGAGCTTTATAGACATGGAAAAAGCATTCGACTCGGTCAAAAGAAACGATATATGGGAAAGCCTAAAGAATAAGCAAGTAAGAACTGATGAAAGCAACAAAGAGCATATACATGAAGACAACAAATACAGTAAGAATGTTAAATATATAGTTAGAACAACTTGAAACAACTCAAGGAGTTGGACAAGGGGAAAGTCTCAGCCCAGTGCTATTTATAAAGAAGAGATAGTGAAAGAATGTAAGAAAACATTCAAGAAATACTGCATCGGTTGCAACAGAATGCAAATGATAAACGCTGAAATATGTATATTTGTAAACGACGTAGTATTAATTGCGAAAACTGCAGAAAAACTGAAATACAACTTAGAGAAATGGAACCTAGAAGCAAGCAAATATAAGTTAAACGTAAACAAAGAGAAGACTCAGATAATGAAAATATCAAGAAAACAGGAGACGGAAGATCAAATAGAAGTAATGATAGACCAACAAAAAATAATACAGACAAATTCATACAAATACTTAGGAACAGTAATCAACAACAAAGAAGATATGGAGGACGATCTTAACAACAGAATGGAAAACACAGGAAAACTATTCCAAGCACTAAATAGAGGATTCCTTAATAACACAGAATTATCAACAAAGACCAAGATGACAATATACAAAACAATATATAGACCTACAGGGACATATAGAGCAGAAAATTGGGTATTAAACAAGAGGCGCCAGAGCAGAATTCAGGCAGTACAAATGAAATATCTCAGAAAAACAGAACAGAAAATCAGAAATGAAGAAATAAGAGAAATACTCAAAATCAAACCGATACTCGACTCAATCAAGGAGAAAAAATTAAGAGTACAAAGAGTACAAAAAAAAGAGGTACAAAGAGTGTGGGACACCAAACCAATAGGGAAGAGCAGAAGAGGAAGACCCATTAAAGAATAGAATAGTGACATCTCGAAGATACTGTAGGGTAAGGTTAAGACTTGGCAGGAAGCAACACAGATGGCATCCAATAGAAAGAAATGGAGAAAGTTCGTTAAGAGCTAAGACACCTCAGATTGTAAAATATTGTAATTTAATGAATTGTATTATAAACGGCTCAACACCGAAAGAGTCTACTGATTAAGTAAGTTGGTAAAGATAAAAACATTTTCTAGCACTCAGTAGGATCTTAGTTTTTATTGAGATCACCTATAGATCCTTTGGGATCATCCAAAAGTTATCATTTGCTTTCTTAAGATCAGTAAATGCAGTATATCCGATTTTGTTATTTATTCTGTATTTGTTATTAAAAATATTTAGCTAAAAACTACGATATAATGTTAATTTAAAGTAATATCTTTTATTTTTGTGTGTTGTATGGTTGTACTACGTTATTTTAAAGATTTAATCAATGTTTTTATTATAATCGAATAATATATACATATTTTTGTTGTACTTTTGGGATTTTTGTGTATATTAAACAAATTATTACTTATGAAGAAAACATTGTGTAGCTACAGCAACAATATATTATATCAGAACGTTATAAGAGGAAATTAAAATAATAACTGTCTCTCTTATAAACAAAATGAAATATTTTTATGTGTCTAAGTACCAAATGCAATGTTTAGATTTCATCCTATTGTTAAACATGAATAAATACCTTGACAATAGAAGATCTAACCTCTAAGCATCGGATGAATAATTTTGAATAACTTGTCTACGCAAACGGAAAGCCATTTTTAGATCGAAATGTACTCCCACCGGAAAATTTGCGTTTTATTGTAAAATTCGTATGATCACAACATTTAATATCGATTGCACAACAGCCCCTTCGACTGCCATACAACAACTGATAGGCGTCGTATGATCGCGACGAGGATAGTCTTTTACTTGGGACGCTGGCGCATTGGCGCTGGTCCTTGTTTTAGAGAAAGCTGGGAAATGGGAAATGAAAAACGTGCCCTTTCTTGGATTAACGACTTTTTAGAATCCCGTGAACCATATATTGTACTCACTCTAATCATACTCCAAAAGAGCGTTTTTATATGTCGTCGATAATGAACTGAAAATTTGATCGGTCGGAGTAAAAATAACAAAAAATATTTGTAATATACACTAGAATTAATATGGCATAATATAAAACAAAATAGAGTTAAATACAAAGGAGAAAATACAGTAACTATCAGTATAGAACTATGTAAGTGTAGGACAAAGTCTACGACACTTTTTATTGTAGTACTTAGATGAAGTACTATAACTGCCAAGTTAATTACAGAGAGTTTGACGAAATTTATAGTATACGCTAACGATCTAGTATTAGTATTAGTATTAGTAACAAACAAAATAAATCAAAATTTAGATATACAGGGGGACCCATAATTAATTGGACATTAGCTAATGTAGGGGTGGCCAACCTTTTTAAGTCGAGTGCCAACATGAGAACAAAAAAAAATTGGCGTGCCACTAAAATTTTTCGACGCACTAATATGGATACTATATATTAATAATTTACGGTACAATAATTATGTATTTCTTATGTAAATTCCACATTTTTCCGTTTAGTCAAGATAGTGGAGGTTTAAAAAATAATGTAATAAGTAAAACATAATAAACTTACTTTATTGTTAATAAAAATAAAATAAAAACGTTAAACAAAAAAACTTAAATATTTTCTTATTATGTAAAATTCAAATTATTAAACAGTTACTTATTTAATGTGGTATTTGAACTTGTATTTTTTTAATTAATTCATCTATATTGGGATTAATTTCGGAACTAGCCAACAAAATTAGATTTTTTTAATGCATGTCAGCTAATCTTGACCGATATTTTGATTTTATTATGTTCATAATAGAGAACATTTGCTCACAAACGTACGTTGAACCAAATCTACAACAATATCTCAGAGCTAACTCGTGTAAATTAGGAAAATTGTTTGCTGGTACAAATTTCCAAAATTCAATATAATTGGGATCAGTAACAGTTGAAATAATTTCCCTATATTTGGTTTTTAGTATAGTGTGGTTCTGTAAATCAATAATTTCGATCTGTATTTCAGCTAAGTAACAATTGATATCTTGCAGAGAAATAGAAAAAGGATTTATGAAAAGGTCAACATTCATTTTATCTTTTTGAAAATCTTCAAACCGGGTATTGAATGAACCTAGCAAAATAGATATAAGGTTTTTAAATCTGTCATAATTTGGAGTTCTACTGACCTTGTTGGCTAATTCCTGCATTAATGTGAAATGTGTCAATCTCTGTTCTCCAAAATCGTTACAAAAAAGCATAAGTTTATTCACAAAAGAAGATATATGACCAACTAGAGTAGGAAAAATACAATTTTTTCCCTGTAATCTTAAATTTAATAGATTTAAATGTCTCATAATATCAGTGAGAAAAGCTAAATCCCAAAACCAATCTTTATCATTAAGTAACGAGCACTCACTGGGTAGTTCATTGTTTTCTTGCAAATATTTTAAGACGCACTCCTTCAAGTTCCAAAACCTTTCGAGTGCATTTCCTTTGGAGAGCCAGCGCACACTGCAATGGAGAAGTAACTCTCCATCTTGCTCCGTTTCTTTAGCGAACAGTTCTCGAAATTGTCGTCGATTCAATGCCCGAGCTCGTATTTTGTTAATGCAGCGTGTTACAGGGTCAACAACAGATGACATGTTTAGGTCCTTGGCACAAAGAGCTTCCTAGTGAATAATACAATGGTACTTAAAAACTTTTCTTCCCAAATAGTTTTCCAGTAATGTAACAAACCCCTTTAGTCTACCAACCATGCAAGGAGCTCCATCTGTACAAACACTATCTAAGTTTGACCATTCAACTTTATTGACTTCGATTACGTTTTTAAGCTGTTGAAAAATGTCCTCTCCTGTTGTTGTGACTAGTTGGCGCAAATCCAGAAGCTCTTCGGCATTTTCAAAATTATCATTGGTATAACGGACAAAAATGCTTAACTGCGCATTTTCTGTGTTGTCACAACTTTCATCCAACGCTAAAGAAAAGAATTTGCAGGATTGTAATCCACTTATAATTTAAGAAACAACATTCTGGCCCATATTGGCCTGGGATAATGCAATATTATCGACCATATTTTTAATCTTTACATCTCCCACATTTTTAGCAAATATTGCCAGACTATTTTTAATTATCTCCTCTCCATCAGAGTAGGCTGTTTTCTTCCGGGCTAACAGCAGAGAAAGTTCATATGATGTTTTAACCATAGTTTCCATTTCATCACTTCTCTTCTGAAACAGTGACTGTTGGCTGGCTAGGGTTTTCTTTTTTTTTCAATAAAGTCGGCTCGCAAATGTGAACCAATAGAATATTCGTTGCTGAAGTCCTACTGCAGTTGTTTATAATGTCATTCCAGGGTAAATTTTTTCGGAACTGCTACAGACAATCCACATATCAAACAAACAGGCTTTGAAGTATTACGATTAGTAAATAAAAATTGTTCTTCCCAAGCAGGTTGAAAATCGCGAATTGCAATATCATCTTCGTATTTTCGTTTTGAAGTCGAAGGCTTACTCGTGGACATGTCGAACAAATACTTTTAAAATTTTAAAGAAAAAATGCGCGATGACAAAATGTGCACATACAACGGGGCAGTTTAAAATAAACTAAGCAAGGGTAACGCAGTCCTATTGCACATTACGACAGCTAGGATCACGTGCACCAATCGCAGCAATATCGCTCGCCAGAGGATTCAATGATGCCGCATCTATCGTAACTTCCGTAAACCTACCAAGTTTCTTCTTATTATTTTTTGTTTTTTAAGTTTTAATTTTTTTGAAAGTTTGTTCAGTTTGAAAATCCTATCAGTGGCACGCTACGCGTGCCACTGATCGGACTCAATCGTGCCACAGAGTGGCACGCGTGCCGCGAGTTGGCCATCCCTGAGCTAATGGGTGATAGATAGCTGACATCATATATAGTTCTCGTTCTACAGGGTGATCTATTAATTTTTTTTATATAATTTTTAGGGATATATTGAAAACTATTCAACCGATTTAGGTGAAATTTGGTATCTTGCTATTATTTGGAAAGGCATTGGGTCGCGCCACCTACCGTAACATTGGTTCATTAATGTGGCCATAATTTTTTTGTCCACCCTGTATAAACATTCTAGGAAAAATAATATGAAATAACATTAAATTCTACACAAAAGAGGTATTCCTATAAGCATAAAAAAATTTGCGGCAAGTGAAGTATGCAGTTTGGTTAGATTGGCACGGTAAATTGATTGAAACCTATGATGACCGAGACATTTTTAATACTGATGAAACTGGCATATTTTTCAAATGTTTACCGAACAAGACGCTTACTTTTAAAGGAGAAACATATCCTGATGAAAACATAGTAAAGACTAACAAAATGACGACAAATTTTTTTACCAATTGGCCTTAAAAGTTAATGGGAATTTGAAAGAGCAAAAGCAAATATTTACTATTTTTAGACAAATGCTCTGTCGATAACAGACCTCCTAAATCGTTCAACGTGGAACTTTCCTTCTTTCCGCCAAATACAACTTCTAAATTGCAACCATTGTAATAAGGGATTATCCATAATTTTAAGATGTTCTATCGCAAAGAAATTGTTAAGCTCGTTTTAGAATCTCTCGACAAGCAGCTAACTGCAAATATCACGGTTCTGACAGATATTTTACTGATTGACATTTGTAGTTACCTTGTAAATACCAATTAGTTTTAAAGAGTAAAACATCGTAGCACTGTAAAATAAATTTAATGATTTCGATAGGAATCATATCAATGTATCTCTACATATAAATGCAAACTATCCCCCATGGACAAACCACCCATTAACTATTGACATAACACTTACCAAGTATCCCAAATCACCTACAAATTATACAATAATTAAATCTCTATTCATGGAAAATATGTACCACTATCCTAATTATTTGCAAATCTTTACCGATGCCTCTAAAACTATCAATGGTCACGCTGCTGCCTACTACTGTAGAGAAAATTCTTACAGCATATCGATACCAACCTACTGCAGTATACTAACAGGTGAGGCTACAGCTATTTTGGAAGCCCTATTCTTCTTCGAAAAGAGTAGAACGATGAAGTGCATTATCGTTACAGACTCATTAAATGCATTACTGGAACTGAAACAAATATATACCAACAACCCTATTATGCAGAGTATAAAAAACAAACTACAGAAATTTCGATTATTAGGAAAGGAAGCGGCTTTTATTTGGGTACCTTCACAAACAGGTATTTACGGAAATGAAAAAGCAGATCAATTGGCAAACAAAAGTCTAATGAACTCAAACCATACTGCAAAACTGAAGACATATCAGTACACTGATCTAAAAAACCTGGCAAAAATCCACTGTATTAATACTTGGCCAAATATTTGGCAAAAATTAGGTACTAAATCAAATGTAAGATGCCCAAAAATAACTGATGTTCTGAAGACTCTTTTAAACAGAAGAAATTATCAATCATCATTATCATTATCAATTATCAATCATCATCATCATTATCAATTATCATTATCAATCGTCTAAGAATTGGCCATACTGCCTTAACACACAAAAACCCAATATACTCGGTTCGCTATTCCCAGTCCGAACTGTCTAGTGAATTTAGTAATTATTTTTTTGCGAAGTTAGTTAGTTTTTGACAGACTAAAAGTGGCTGGAAATTACTATACAATCAAGCAAACGTACTCATAGCCAATATTAATATTAAACAAACTAAATAGTAAATAAAATAGAACTTTGCGAATTATCGACAATCAATATTTATTTATCTGCACCATATAATAAATAGTTATGTTAAATTATAACAACTTA